TACCTGTCGGTGGTGACCTCACTTCTTATGTAGAAGGACAACAATTTGTGAGAATTTTTTTTTTCATTCCAGTAACAGAAGCTAAGAGACTCCCAGCCTTCCAGAAGTGCATGCTGCATTCCCTGCCAGAAGAAGGCCAGGACTGGGGCAGCCACCTTACCCCAAGTGGGTGCTCTTCTGTGAATGTGCTATGGAAAGATTCCGGGGCTGGGTTCTGCTTAGTTGATCTGAACCCTCAGCAGAACTCTTCCCCAGCTGCACCCCCAATTTGTTCTTGAGGCCAGTGGAGATAAAATGCTTTTTAATATTGAATTAATTTGTATTCCAAGTGATCATGATAGGTAGTTTCCATCGGTGGCCAGTATTTCCCTTAGATGATTTTACCATCAACCTCTAGCTTTGTGAAAGAGAGTTCTTGGTCAACCAGTTGTAGCTGTGAAAGTTGATGAGGCCATTTGTCACCTGTAAAATTAAGATAATCCTACCTCATGGGTCAGGAGGATCACAGTATAATGAAATACTCTGCATGCAACTAGTCAGTTTCATTCACTCACTCAATCCAAAATTATTAAATGAGGCTATTGCCATGTGCCAATCACAGCCTAGGTCCTAGATAAACACTGATGAAAAGGTAGCCCCTGGTCTCCAGGAATGCCTGGTACAGTAAGAGAAACAGAAGTGATTAACCTAGAGTGTAACGAAGACCACACAAGAGGGAACCCTGGTGAGTTAGGAACACTACACAACGCTCCCAGGGGATGCTGGAGGCTCAGCAAATGCTTCTGGAGGTAATGAGGCCTCGCATGAGACATACGAACCAGTAGGAATTGGAGAAATCTGGTGATGGGCAGGCTAGAGTGGAGAGGTGAATCAGGCAGATAGAACAGGTGCAAAGGCCTGTAGACAAGGAAGCCTGCTAATTCCAGGCAGCTGCAGGTGGTTCCACTTGGCCAAACCATCAAATGAAGTGAAGAGAGAGAAGCTGACAGAGTGACAGAAAGGTTGCAAGAGCCTTTCAGGCTACACAGATGACTTTGGACTTTCACAGACTTAGCCAGTGATATGGAGAGTGGATCTCAAGGCATGAGTAAAGGCCAGCAAACCCTAACACAGCACTGTCCACACCCAGGGAGGTGCAACATCTCCGGCACAGAGGCTGTCATCGCTCTTTGATACAGCTGCACTCCCTCCACTGTAGTGTCTCTAACAGAAATGGCAATCAGGAACATTCTTACACAACAGGGCCCGCTTCTAACGAGTCAACATGAAATGCAGCAAACAGTGGTCTGTGTGAACTCGGGGGAAGTGGAAACAGAGGGACTCTGTTTTCAAAGCCTGGCCTTGAAGGGCCCAGGATGTAACACCCCAAGTCCTGCAGAGAACATGGCCTCTGCTTCCTCCGAAAGCGTGGTCATTTTCTGGGCTCAGAGAACATTCCAGGGCAGGAAACGGCTTCTCAAAAGATGAGAGCTGAATGTCAAGGGGGAGGGGAGAGTGAAGCTCCTGAGCTGGGTTCCAAAGAGTTCCGGCCCACTGCTCTCAGTGCAATCCTCACCACGCTCCAGTGAAAACAAGCCTGACTCACAGACCACATCAGTCCTGGGAGAGTGGGGTGGGGGTGGGGGGTGGAGGAGCCAGGCTGTGTGCTGCTGGCCAGGGCTCTCTCCCACACTCCCGGTGGGGGCATGTTGGAGTTGCTCTCTGGAAACCATACAGGAAAGAAGGGTTGGACTCTACCCATGCCCACCTCCACAGTCCACGCTCCCAGTCACCTCCCTCTTCCTCTCCTGAGCGCTTAGCTCCATGCTGCAGCTGAGTAGGGTGAGAAAAAGCAGCCGATTATGATCAAGGACAAACACGAAATACTTGAAGCCATTCCAGGGGCCACAAAACTGGGAGTTTCTGCAGATGATCCAGCAGATGTGGAGGAAGAGAAGAGGTAGGGCAGTGAGCAAAGTTAAGATCAAAATCCTAGCTCTGCCATATGGGCCTGAGACTCCAGGGGCAGAGTATTTCCGTTGAGTTTTCAGTTGTCTTGGCTCTCAAATGGGAATAAGATCTCACTTGCAAGTTACTGGAAAGCATCTTGCACAACATCTGCAACAACACAGCAGTTTGTTAAACATGCATTGTACCAGTAAGCATGGCTCCCACGCCTTGGGACATTTCTCCTATGGTCTTTCCTTTGGGACTGGACTTGCTTTCCCGCTCATTCTGCAGGTAGTTTGAAGGTAGTGACTGCATGACACAGCCTTTCCTTCCCACATATCGCAGTTTCTAGCTGTTTGGATGCTTACTTTCTGGCTAAAGAATGGACTCAGATGTCAAAATCTCAGGAGAAACGGCTGTACCAAACTAACAGCCCTTGGCACCCACCATATACAGTAGGTGAACAAGGGGCATTTGCATACCTTTCATCTACACTTTGGCTAGAAGTGGCCCATCAGTAAGAGATGCACAGAAAACAATGGTGGATGCTGGAGGGTTGGGGCTACACTGTCTGGGAGCACCTGCCAGGTGTAGTGACCTTGACTGAGTAACTGGGAAGTACTCAGAGTCCCTATCTCATAGAGCACTGGGGGTCATTTAGAGAGTATATGGTGAGTACCTGAGTAGCGCCTGGCACGGGGTTAATATTCCGTAAGAAATCTTCATCATTGTCAGCTCTGTTCTATTTGCTGGGCAGGATCCCCATCTTCTTGCTGAATAGCAACATGGAAATCTCGCTCTGGGTAGATCCTACCACCTATAACAGTGAGTCTCCACTGAGTAGGTTGTCGGGTAGGCAGACTGCAGGGCTGTGCTGTGATTTCCCCCATAAGACAAGTGACTGTGGAAGTGCTTTGTGAACTCCAAAGCTGTATTATAAGTAATGTTATAGCTTGACTTATCCGATACTTTACAGTCAAGAAACAATATTGTAAACATAACCCCAGTTCCCACTTTGGAAGCCTATTATGAACAGGTATATTCACTGTTCTCAACAGCTCATAACATTAGAAGTATTGTCATTCCTATTTTATTTACTTATGGAGATCTTAATTGGCCTTATTTACAACTATACAGTAGGGCAACACTGAAGTCTGTAAAACAGAATAAGTGGAATAAGTGCTTCTTATCTCTGATTTATTTTTTGAAAATTCATTTTCTTTTTTTGAAAGGCAGTGTTACACAGACAAACACAAGGAGAGAGAGACAGAGAGAGAAGGAGGGAGGAAGGGAGGGAAAAAGAGAACTTCCATCTTCTGGTTCATTCTCCAAATGGTAGCAAGAGCAGGGTTGGGCAATGCTATAGCCAGGAGCTTGGAATTCCATCTGGGTCTCCCACATGTACAGCAGGGCCCCAGATGTTGGGCCATCTCCTTCTGCTTTTTCAGGCACATTAGTAGAAAGGTTGAATCAAAAGTGGAGCAGATGGGACATGAATTGGTCTCCATAAGGGATATTTATATTGCAGACAGCGCTTAACCACTGTGCCACATCAGCCTCCATTTTTTTTTTTAATTGTATGTATCTGAAAGGCAGAGTAACAGAGATGGGAAAAGTGAGAAAGAGACAGAGAAAGAGAGATATCAAGTTTGTCTCTCTGCTGATTCACTCTCCAAATGTCCACAACAGCCAGGACTAGGACAGGCTAAGCGCCAAGGTCTCCATCTGAGTGTTCCATGCAGGTGGCAGGAACTCATGAACATGGGCCTTCATAGACTGCTTCTCAGGTGCATTAGCAGGAAGCTGGATTGGAAGCAGAAACAGGACTCCACCCCAGGGGTTTTGATATGGGATGCAGGTGTCCGAGGCAATGGGGTAACCTGCTGTGCCACAATGTTTGTACCATTTTCAAGATGAGAGGAATAACATTCAAAGAGACTCAGGGTCCCACATGCAGTTCAAGTTTGGATTGTCTAACTACCAGGTTTATCTTTTAAAAAATTTATCTATTTATTTTCATTTGATTTGAAGTCAGAGAGAGCAACAAATAAACTGAGAGCCTCTATCTGCTGGTTCACTCCAGTGCCCATGTGGGTAGAATGAAGTCAGAACTCAGAACTCCACTCATGTCCTACATGCAGGTGTCAAAACTAGGTACATGAGCCATCACCTGTTGCTCCCCGGATGCACATTAGCAGAAGCTGCGTGAGAAACAGAGGAAGTGTGGCTGGTTTTGTGGTGTAGCAGCAGCTTACATTGCCTCCTACAATGCTGGCATCCCATATGGATGCCAGTTTGAGTCTTGGCTGCTCCGCTTCTGATCTACCTCCCTTCTCTGGGCTCTGCACCCATGTGGAAGACCTGAAGAAACTCCTGACTTCAGCCTGGGTCACTCCTGGATGCTGTGGCCATATAGGGAGTGAATCCACACATGGAAGATTTCTTTCTCTGTAACTTTGTCTTTCACATAAATAAATAGATCTTACAAAAAGAAGAAGAAGAAGAAGAAGAAGAAGAAGAAGAAGAAGGCAGAAATGGAGGATCTGGAACTCAAACACAATTATTTTGAAAAGCAAAAAGACAGTAAGACACAGGCATCTCAACTCACATCCTAGCAACTATGCCCTGCAGCCTATGCTTTTAACCACTATGCTATGTGTACAGACTGAATATGAATGTTCCAAGATACATAACAATGAGCTCAAGATTTTCAACCAAATGCCGGTATTTCTCCCCTTAGATTCTGGAAGTTCTGCTTCTTCCCTTCAATAGGTATCATGATATCCCAGCTTTAAATCTCCTGAATGTCGTCTCCCTCATTCCAAGCCAACCATATCCAGCTTAATTTGTCCACCTTGGAAAGAGGGTTGGCTTAGTTGACCCTGCTAAGATTTAAAATTCTAGTTCTTGAGTGTATTAATTTGCAACCCAGCAGAGTAACTGTCTTGTTTCCTGGTTAGGACACTCAAGCAACACATAATAGCCTCCATCTCAAGAAAGAAAAAAAGTTCTGAAATTAAAATAATATAGTTTATAAGTTAAAGAAAAAGACAATAAGCAAGAGCAGCTTATTTTTGCTTTAATAGCCCAATATAACTGTACATCTGGGACTATGTTGCAAAACAAAGCAGAAATCTCTAGATATGTACGTCCTACTCTGAAGAAATGCTGATGAGAGAAAAGGCACCAGAGGTTGCATTTTGATGGGCTCCATGTAAGTGTCGATGGGAGAACAATTCGCCACAGAGAAAGAAACCTGCACTGTCATTTCACTGGTAAATCCTGGGATGAAAGGCAGCCTGACAGAGACGCTCAGCCTCTACGTCCCAGGACACTGCAAACAACGCCTGATGCTACACACACACCCAGGCAGTGCAGGAGGGCATGGAAATGAACTGATATTCATATAAACCTCTGGGCTCTCTTCCCCTCTTTCTCACATGGCTCCCAATGGCATCTCAAATGGCAATGCCTCACAAATGCACTGTTCATCCACAACCAGTTAGGAGATGATCAAATCCAAGAAAGTCCCGGTGTGTTCACTTTGTCTCTGTCTGCATTCTTCAATCAGATGACTTGGGGAGGGACGTACATCATCTGGTCTGTGTTCTTAGGTGATAACGGTGGGCGCGGTGCGTCCTGTCCTTTCCTGGAGCTGGGACACCTTCAGAGCAATTGAAATGAGAGGGGCCAACATGACCTGAGAAAGAAAAAAGAAACATTTTCCATCACTTTCTCCACACACAGATCCATAGTGGATTACCTGTGAACTCCAAGACCATGTCCAGCTGCCTATTCCCACGTCTTGAGGGTAAAACCTAACACATGTCTTTCCTCCCTCAACCTAGCTCCAGTACTCTCCACTTGAGCGAATCAACACCATCATCGGTTATGTGGTGTGACCAACGACCAATCATTCTTGATACCTTCCTCTCCATGCTCCCTTTGTCCAACCCATCAGCAGGTGCTAAAGTGACACTTATCACCTCTTGGGCAGCATATAGATATATGTCATATAGTCTAGACATATAGATATATAACTTATATCTTATATAATTTATATATCTATATCTATATATCCATATATATATGGGGAGAGAGAGAAATGCATATAGAGATACACACTCAGAGAGGAAGAGAGACAGAGAGACAGAGAGACAGACAGAGAGGTTTTCCATCCACTGGTTTCACTCCTCAAATGACCACAACAGCTGGGCCAGGCCAGGCTGAAGCAGAGACAGGAGTTCCACCTGGGTATCCTATATGGAGGGCAGGTACATAGTACTTGTACCATCCTCTGTTGCCGTCCCAAGTGCACTAGTAGGGAGCTGGATCAGAAGTTGAGTCAGCCAGAACTCAAATCTGCACTCTGATATGGGATGCCAGTAGTACAAGTGGAGGCTTACCCTGATACACTACAACACCAGCTCCATAAGCATTTTTCATTCATTTTCTCCTTAAATCCCCTCAACTCTCTACATAGGTATAAATCTGCCATTTTACAGACAAGGAAATCATGACTTCTAAAGTTGAAAGGATTTGTCTAAGGATTCACAGATATTAAATGGCAACAAATCAATTTAAACCAAGGTCTCTCTAATTCCAAAACTTATGCTCAAAATCACTATGCCAGGGGTTCCCAATTTAGTTTTTTAGGATCTTAGTGTTAGAACAAAAAGACTTTATGGAAAACAAAGCATGACAAACTACTATTTATTTTAACTTTTAAATAACTATTAAATAACTTTTAAATAACTATTTATATTTAAGATATATAACATGATGTGTTGATAATGTTTATATGCACACACTTATGTATATATACACACACGTGTATATATAAATATAATATATATATAAAGCCAATGATTATAGTCAAGACAAATTTCTTCACATAGTTTTTTTTTTTTTTTTTGCTATATTGTTGCTATTAAGCACACTTAAGAGCTACTTTAGTAACTTCCAGGTACAAGATAAAGTATTATTCACTATAGTCATCATGCTATACATTAGATATCTAGGGCTTCTTTTTTTAAGATATTTATTTGAAAGGCAGAGTTACATAGAGGAAACAGGAGAGAGAGAGAGAGAGAGAGAGAGAGAGAGAGAAGAGGAGAGACTTGTCATTTGCTCGTTCACTTCCTAAAGGACTGCAAAGCCTGGGACTGGGCCAGGCTGAAGCCAGGAGCTTTTTCTGGATCTCCCATGTGGGTACAGAGAGCCAAATACCTGGGCTGTCCTCTACCACTTCCCCAGGTGCTCCAGCAGGGAGCTTGGGAAGCAGAACATGCAGGACTTGAGTGGGCCCCATGTAGGCTACCATCACAGGTGGCTGCTTAGCTTGCCATGCAGCAGTGCTGGTCCCTAGGACTTCTTAAAGATTCTTAGCTGAAATGTGTTCTTTGACCAAAAACTCCCCATTTCCTCGAGCCCTGCCCCATGCAGCCAGTCTTCTCTGTTTCTATGAATTCAACTGTATTTTAGATTCCACATGTGAGATCAAGCAACATTTGTCTTTTTGTGCCTAGCTTATTTCATGCAACAAAATCTCCAGGCAGTTACCTTGGATATGCATGAGTGATTTACAAAGTTCACAGTAGAATAAAATTAAAAGACATGTTTATTTTGGTAAAAAAAAACATTTTTTAAAAAATATTTTTATATGATTTTTTGGGCCTGGCGCTGTGGTCTAGCAGCTAAAGGCCTTGCCTTGAATGAGCCGGGATCCCATATGGACGCCGGTTCTAATCCCAGCACCTCCACTTCCCATCCAGCTCCCTGCTTGTGGCTTGAGAAAGCAGCCTTGAGACTCTGCACCTGTGTGGGAGACCCAGAAGTTGTTCTGGTTCCTGGCTTTGCATCAGCGCAGCACCGGCTGTTGCGCTCACTTGGGGAGTGAATCATTGCACAGAAGATCTTCCTCTCTGTATATCTGACTTTGTAAAAAAAAAAAATCTTAAAAAAAAGGTTTTCATATTATTTTTTAATTGGAAAGGCAGATCTACAGAGAGAAGGAGAGACAAAGATCTTCCATCTGCTGGTTCACTCCCCGAGCGGGTGCATCGGTCAGCACTGGGCCGATCTGAAGCTAAGAGCCAGGAGCTTCTTTCAGGTCTCCCACTTGGGTGCAGGTCTTAAGACTTTGGGCTATCCTCTACTATGTCCCCGGGCAACAAGTAAGGAGGTGGAAAGGAAGTAGAGCAGCTGGGACACAAACCAGTGCTCATAACGGATCAGGGTGGATGCAAGGCGAGGATTTAAGCAGTAGGCTTTCGCACTGGGATCCCAAAAGTTTTAAACCCATTCCTTTCTATAACACACGTTTTCTATAATTCCTTTGGAGATCACCCATACACACAGAAATATTAGACTGGTTCATACAGTATTTTGATTTTTAACTTTTTGAGAAACTTCTACACTGTTTTCCAAAATAGTTGACCAATTTACATTTTCACCAACACTATGCAAGGGTTCCCTCTTCTTCACATCTTCATGAACAGCTGTTTTTTTTAAAAAAGATTTATTTGACTTTTATTGGAAAGTCAGATATACAGAGAGGAGGAAAGACAGAGAGGAAGATCTTCTGTCTGATGATTCACTCCCCAAGTGACCACAGTGACCGGAGCTGCACCAATCCAAAGCCAAAAGCCAGGAACTTCCTCCAGGTCTCCCATGCAGGTGCAGGGTCCCAAGGCTTTGGGTCATCCTTGACTGCTATTTCAGGCCACAAGCAGGAAGTTGGATGGGAAGCGGGGTTGCCAGGATTAGGACCGGCACCCACTAAGCCAAGTGCCAGACCCCAAGCAGTTGTTACTTTTATCTTTTTTATTTTTTGCGCCATCACTATTGGGTGATATTTCAATTTGTTTTCAATTTGTATTTCCCTGATAATTAGTGACACTGACCACCTTTCTCATATACACACTGGCCATCTGTATGCCTTCTTTGGGAAAATGTTTATTTGGGTTCTTTAACAAACATTCTTTCGGGGCCAGTGCAATGGTTCAATTGGCTGTTCTTTGCCTGCAAACACTGACATGCCATGTGAGCGCCAGTTTGTATCCAAGTTGCTCTACTTCCCATCTAGCTCCCCACTTGTGGCTTGGGAAAGCAGGGGAGGATGGCCCAAAGCCCTGGGATCCTGCACCCATGTGGGAGACCCAGAGGAAGTTCCTAGCTCTTGATTTTTGGATTGGCTCAGCTCTAGCTATTGCGGCCATTTGGAGAGTAAATCAACAGCTGGAAGATCTTTCTCTCCTTTCCATAAATTTCTTTTTCCTATAAAAATAAATAAATCTTTTAAAATTTTTTCCATAAATCACACAGTATTGTAGGCATAAAGTTGCTGGGCCTCTTATGCGGAGCATCACTTGGGAAAACTTGCCCGTGCCTCACTGCCTGCCCCTGGTCCTCCAGTTTGGCAGCACTCTTGCTAGCTCCCTGTCCCATCCGTGGCTCTCAGGCTCTCTGCTCATCCTGACATACTCTAGGAGACCCCATGGGTGTGGCTGCAATTCCACAGATTTTTCCATGAATACCCATGAACCTTTCTCTTCTTGCTCCCATCAAGTACCAATACTGGTTTTGTCACAGCTGGTTATCAGACCAAGCCAAGTGACGATCAGAGCTGGCAGATCAGAGGAGGGGCTGACTAGTTATCCTGAACATGCCAGTTCTGAGGCTGGTCAATCCATCAGCTGTGCTGACCCTTACTGAGTCACCATTTCCTTATGGCATAGTAAGGAGAGTAATACTCAACCTCATTTAAGCAAAACTGAGTGAATTCATGTAATAGACTTAGAACAGAGCCTAATAAATAGTAAGTAGCTGTCTTTCGCTACTGTTAGGTCACACAGAGAGGGACATGGAGGAAAGTGGGTGCAGCTGGCACCCTGCTGGTGCTCTGGGAAACATGGAACAGGAACAGGGCCTCAGCAGAAGTCCTACCCTTCCCTTCAACAGAACAAACTAATCGGGGGGTGGGGGAGGGCTTGGGTATTACCTGGGGGTCCTGGTTGATCTTGGCGTTGTCTTTCTCGTAGCTGTCAATGTACAGTCGGATGGTGGCCCCCGCACTGCCTGTGCCACTCAGTCGGAAGATGATACGAGAACCATCTGCAAAAATGAGTCGCAAGTCCTGGAAAAGACAAGCAGAGACTGCTTTCCCCATGGGCCGGAAAGGAGGCAGAAGATTGGCAAGTGGAAAGGGGTCTGTTTGGAGCCCTAATATCACCCCCATCTGATCATCGGAGGCTGAGATCTTTGATGAACAACAGTCAAGCCTCACGAGTTTGACTTTTGTCCACCTCTCACCACACCAGGTGCTGGGGGCTGAGCTCATGTGGGAGAAACATTTGCACAGCCACGTGCGAGACCTGACGTCAGTGCTGCTGGACAACAGGAGGCTTTCCCTTCCCTCCCCTCCAAACCCTGTATCCCTATGATTTATGGAGTCATCATTCCCAGCGGAATAAGAAACAAGTAGATAAAAGCTGCTAGAGGTAGCGGAGCTCCCAGACTCCCAGATTAGGAGGAAAAGATGGACAGGATGAGCTGAGAGCAGCCCAGGAGATGTTTCAGACAGACGAGGGGAAGAAGCCTATGAAACGCTGGTCCAGACTGCCTCATCACCAAATCACAAAGCCACTTTTCTAGAGGGCAGGACTGCCTATTCCCTAACTATACAGCAGGTTTCTAGTGTGGCCAATCTCCTACTGGTTCCTAGTAATCCAAGCTGGGGCCCCTGTGGGGACATGCTAAGCCGACCCTTCTCTCAGTGGCTCTCCTCGTCCCCCCACCCCCACCAGCAATGTCTCTGGTGCTCAAGGATCTATGTCAGGAGGAAAGGATGGAAAGACCAAGGTTTTGATTCTAGAAATGGAGCTGCTGCCTTCTTCCTTGGCAGAGACAGAGCAGCCCTCGGCCTGGGCTGGCACCCCTCGCCCCGGCTCTCTCTAACAGGTACCAGATGCAGTGCAGAGTTGGAACTTCCTGTTTCCGGCCTTTTGCACTCTCTCTGATGGCTTTGTTTGGCTCTCCCATCTCCTGGGCTTCTAGCTCTTCTCTTTCATGCCTCTCACCTCTTGGAACCCAGGCCTCTCATGTTTTAATCATTTAGGCAAAGCTTATAATAATCACTACTGGACACAAAGTCTCCAATGGCAAAAAGGCACATGGTGGAGAAGCCTCTTGGGCAGGATTTGGGGGGAGGACGACTCAGACCTTGAGGGTCCCTGCGGCCTGGTTCCTTTTACCCTCCCACCTCCCGCTCTCCTGAGAGAGGTCCTAAACAAATCACCTGGGCCATCTTCTCCAAATCCTGCTGTGTGAAATGCCTTTGCAAAGGACAGAGCCAAAGTTCTGGGCCTATCAGGAAAAAGCAAATTGGGAAGGCTCTATGCTCTTCTTTAGCATCCCTGTTCTGCAGTTACGAGAAGAGGATGCAGCCTGAGAGGAGCTGGGAGAAACGCTGAACCAGCCTGCTGCCTTGGGTACCAGGCACATAAGGGGACCCTTCAGAACTGTGTCTATATCCAGGGAAGGGCAGCCTCAACTGGGGTGTGTGGCCACACCCTGCCGTGTCCTGTGGACTGTGGATATCAGCAATTAGCATCTCTAAGTCAGGGGAGGCCCTGTCTGCGTGTCTTTTCTGTTAGAAACTGGAAACACATGAAAGAAATGCGTATAATAATGCCACTCTCCTGCTGTCATTCCATAATCTGTCAAGAGAAAGGAGGAGAGTTGACATCCGTGGCCAGAGTTCGGCATCATGTTCTTTCCAGGAGTCCTACATGTGTAACATGACACATTGCATACAATTTTAGAAGGTTCAAAAATCCCTCTGGAGTCTGTGCTAAAGATCCCAAAGTGAGATCAAAGAGGATTGCTTAGAAGCAGGACAAATTCCTCTCCAAATGCACGTGAGAGTCACATGAAACTCAGTAGAAAATCTGCCAAGGGGCAGGCATTAGCTGGGCAGTTAAGACTGGAGTTAGGCTATGCACCGCCCTTATCACATCTCACATTCAATCTCGCAGCAGGTCCGGTTCTTGGCTCTGGATCGTGACTCCAGCTTTGTGCTGACACAGACCCTGGGAGGTGATGGGTAAGGGTTTCTGCTACCCACATAGGGGGAGACCTGCATTGGGTTCCTGGCTCCTGGCTTCAGTCTAGCCCAGCCTCAGCTGTGGCAGGCATTTCAAGAATGAACCAAATGGCAGCCATCTCTGTCTGGGTCTCTCAAATGAACACATTGTAAAATATAACAACAACAACAAAAAACTAAACAAATAAAAAGAAGGAAAGAGAGAAAGAAAGAGAAAATTCTTAGAGAGCAGCAGTCCTAAAAAGACAAAACAGCACAGGAAAGAAAAAAAAAGTGGCCTTGAGACCTCCTAGGTAAAGCCAGAGGCCTGTCTCCTGTACACAGGTAAACCCACACCTACCTGGTTTTTCGAGACACTTCCGTCCACTGGGTCATTGTACTCAAAGTTGTCGGCTTTCTCCACAGTGTAAACCTTGTCGTTGGCTGAGAACTGTTTCCCCACGAAGGAGCGATCAAACATGAGGGCCTCCAGGTCCTTCATCATTTTGTTGGCACCCTCAGCTTCCACCTCCTCATAATCGTACCTGGAACAAGTCGTGCGGTTGAGGCCCACGGGCTTGCCTCTGACCCCCCTGAGGGCCAGCAGCCTGCCCTTCATCACCTTGTCTGCCCTCCCCTAAAAGCATGGAACTTCAGAAGCTGGCCAAACATAGAAGCTTGTCAGTCACAGGGGACAGAACAGGCCGGGGATGAAAGGGAGGGCTTGGAGGATTTCAGGGCTGGGTTAGGAGCTTCTGAAAAAGTGGAATCTGCCCGTCTCGCAGCAGGATAAAGCTCTAAGATGCTTCAAAGGCGCTGGAGAGCTCCTATCTGACACTGAGTCACCCCGTCCCGGGGAGGCAGAGTTCAAAGCCATGTTATTTCCAGAGAGTGTTACACGTGACTCAGCCGCTGCTCTTCCAAACTCCTGCATCCTGGCTGAGAGGAGGACGATTGCTCCGATGGCTCCCAGTCTGGGACCTGCCCTAAGCAGGTGTGACCTCGGCTCGGGAAAGCTCCAGTCTCCCCCGGTGCTTCCTAAAGCAAGGCCAAGGTTTTGCTGACCAGAGGAAGACAGTCAGCTCTCCGTCTTTCCATCTGCGAAGCCTCCCGTCTTTCAGTGACCGTGGTCACTCTGGTCTCACGGGTTTCAGACTCACCCTGACAATAGGAGGGCCGGGGGAAAGAGTGCACTGCAAAGGAAATTCTAAGCCAATTATTTTTTTCCTCCTAGAATTGTTCTTGACTGCTTTCTGAGGAACTTAAAGACTCTAGCAGGTGGCTTTTCTTGACCTGGTGGCACACAGCCTCCTGAGAGGGTTCTTTTTCAGAGGCACCAGGGAGCAGATTCTACATGTATTTGCAACAGGGAAACAAATGCACTGTGTGCAGGAAGACACCTGTGAGGCACAAGAAATACCGGGGGGGTAGGCTGCCCCCCTATCCCATTCCAGCCCCACTGCTATTCTGGGAAACAAGGACAGAACCATCCCCTTAATCTTGAAGTCAGCCCTTTCCCCCAGTGAAAATGATAAACAGCAAGAAATTACAACCAGGTGTGTGTGCTTTGCATCCATGACCTCTGGGTGTTCGAGGAAAATGTTTTCCAAATCCTAGGTACAGCGGGGTGGAACGGCAAGAATCTGGGCTTTGCATCAGATGGGACGAGCTATGAATACAGCCTCGCCCAGTTACTGCCTGGGCAGCCACGGGCCAGTTGCCTTATCAGTGACCCTTCTGAGGCTGACGTGACACAATGCATGCAAAAGTGCCCAGCGCTCCGGGTCTATAAACAGAGTGCAATGGAGTCACTACTCATCAGAAATTCAGATTCTAAGGACTTGATCCATAATACTTGCTTAGCAATCACTTTTGATCATTAACAAAAATACGTTAAAATCATTTAACATGGAAACTGTGAGTTAACTCCAGAGCAACCCTTTCTCTGAACAAGCTCCCCAAACCTGGCCACCAGTCACTGATGAACTCATTCATTTACACAGTGCCTGCCATGAGATAGGGGTCCGGGGGCACCACATGGCACAGAAACCACCAGGGCCCTGTTTTGGTGAAACTCTAGACCCTTCCAAGTTCATGACCGCTGCTCTGAATCACCAGGTCTTTCTGGCTTTTAGACAGTAGATTCTTGCTTTGGTTCCCAGCGCGGCTGGGGTGCCAGGTGTCAGTTATTACTGACGCCTTTCACAAAAGACTAGCTGGAGGGAAGAAGATCAATAAACTTCTCCAAAGTTAATAAGGATTCTGATTAAGGAGCCCAAATTGCTTAAGGTTGAATCCTTTCTTGACTATCCAAGGATCGTGAACTGTTAAATCTGGATTGTATTTTTGGAATGCTCTCATCAGACTCAGCCAGTTTGTAGAAAAGACAAATGCAGGGCAGAGAAATTATATCCACACATTTCCTACAGATAACATATTTTATCCAATAATCTTTTTTTCATATTTCCCTTTCACAGAACACTAAAGTCCAGGGAAAAAAATCTGTCAGATGCTCGCATTTTCAGGAGAAAGGAGCATTGGAACAACTAAAAAACACTAGTGATTTTTTTTTTTGTCAAAAACCCAAGTATGTGGGCCCAGCACATTGGCATAGTAGTTAAAATCCTCACCTTCAACGTGCCAGGATCCCATATGGGTGCTGGTTCTAATCCCGGCGGTCCTGCTTCCCATCCAGCTCCTTGCTTGTGGCCTGGGAAAGCAGTCGAGGATGGCCCAAAGCCTTGGGACCCTGCACCCAGATGGGAGACCTGAAAGAGCTCCTAGCTCCTGGCCCCTGGCTTCGGATTGGCTTGGCTCCAGCTGTTGCAGCCGCTTGGAGAGTGAATCAATGGACGAAAGTCTTTCCTCTGTCTCTACTCCTTCTCTATATATCCGCCTTTCTGATAAAAATAAATAAATCTTTAAAAAAGAAAAAAAAAAAACTATGCACAGGAAAACATTCCTGAGTTTTGTTAGTATTTGTCTCACTACTCTTTCCCTGGTGCCTGCAGAGACTAGATATACAGTAAATATTTGTTGAATCAATGAATGAAATACACAGCTTTTGGGAATCTACTTTAACCTATCTGAATGAGTCAGAAATGTTGATTGCAACTAAACTTAAAGTTCCCCTAACTGAAAATGAGAAAGCATCAACTCAAGGCTACAGAGTTCACCCAGATCTACTATCATTATCATGCTCACTCACTGGGTGCACTTAAACATGCTTATTAAAGCATGTATTCTTGTGAATTATGTCAGTGAAATGTGTAAGGCATGATTGTTATGGTTTTCAGCAAAACTGATTTTACCTCAATCCTAAAGGAAATATTGCTAAAATTTCCCCCTTGGTAGAAGCTGAATGAGTGAGGGCACAGGAAAGACCCACCCCGACCCACTCCACCTCTGTCTGAGCCAGGCTGCAGCTCACCTGGTGAAGAAGTTGCGGCCGAACTTCTGCCAGTGGTCTTTGAGGATGTCCTCCACACTCTGTTTGCGGGTGGCCAGGATGGAGAGCCAGGCGAGCACAGCCCACAGACCATCCTTCTCACGGATGTGGTCAGAACCTGGTAGGCAGAGCAGGCTGCTGTAAGAAGCAGGATTTCTCCAAAACACGTGGGCACATCCTGCATAGTAAGGCATCCAGGGGCCGGCACTGCGGTGCAGTGAGTTAAGCTGCCACTTATGACAACTACATCTTAGACTGGAGCTCTAGATCAAGTTCTGGCGGCTCCATTTCTAAGACAGCTCCCTGCTAATGCACCTGGAAAAACAGTGGAAGATGGCCCAAGTACTCGGGTCCCTGATATCTTCATGGGAGACCAGGACAGAGCTGGGCTCCTGGTTTTGGACCGATCCCAACCCAGTGGTTTAGGCCAACAAGGGAGATGGAAAACCCCATTCTCTCTCTGTCATTCTGCCTTTCAAAAAGTAAAATAAATCATATTTTTTTTTAAAAAAAGCACCCAGTTTTCACTAAATTATAAAATATTCCTGGCAAGTTGAGTACCTGGTAGGAGTCATATGCAGATGGAAAACCTCTAATTAAAACATCCAGATCTGAGACTTCCTGACCACAAACACGAAACCACTACATAAGATGTCACATCTGATGTTAAGTGCCCTATCACAGTCAAAATGCAGGGACACTAAAAATGCAGTGTATTCACTTGTTGACCTTGTTCCATGGCTCCTCACTTATGGTAATAAATAGTGATGTAGTACTGGGGTCTATCATATACTGATGTGGGGGTACAATGGAACACGCATCCCTGCATCCAGACAAAAGATGGACTCCCAATGAAACTGTTGCACATGTTTAGACAACGGGATGCTGGACTGTCTGACATTGTCTGTCCCAACAATGTCAGGGTATACTTAAATAAGAGACTGATAGAATTATGATTCCTTATGAAGGGCTACACTATTATAACAAAATGGGAAAAATCTGACAGGGGGTGGGAGTTTGGGGGGCAATCCCAGCCTATACAAAATTGTACCACATAATTCAAAACTCAAAATAAAAATATATTTTAAAAAAAGACAGAATAGCTGCTCAGAAAAAAAAATGCAGTGTGTTTTTTTCATGGTGTATATAAGCTATGGGTAGAAAAACACTTCACTCCCCAAGCTCAGGGAGATGCTTCAGCCCCAAGGTCTTTTGTTAATGATTGATGGATTGAAGACCTGACCAGGTGAGGCTGGTGGTCCCAAGAATTTCAGGAGAGGGATATTCAAGCTATACTGAATAAAAACAAAAACAAAGTAGAACAGAACACCATAACACTGTGAAGTGGGTGATTCTCAAAGCAGTCCCGAAATTTGATGAAAATCAGTGGAATAATTTGGTATAGCATAGAACATCAATTACAAAGCATTAGTGTAAGTGGAAAAAAAAAATAAAGAAATAGTATGTTTCTTATAAACATTCCTAGGAAGAATCCAATCCCAGATGAATTAAAAATTCAGTTGTAAAATTGGAAACCTCTAAATACTATAGATAGATGTCAATATATTTTGAGTATCTTGGGGGTGACAGTTACATGGATTCAGTATTCGTGGTGCAAATGCTGGGCAGAGCAGTTAGGATGCCACTTGGGATGGCCACTTTCCATACTGGGGACTTGGGTTTAGTGCTGGCTCTGTGCTTGATGCCAGCCTTCTCCTAACGTGGTCCTGGGAGGCAGCAGCTCAGGGCCCAAGGCTGTGGGTCTCCACCTCACAACAGGAAGACGCATCCTCAGTTCTTCTTCTTTTTCTTCTACTTTTTTTTTTAAAGATTTATTTTATTTTTACTGGAAAGTCAGATATACAGAGAAAAGGAGAGACAGAAAAGATCTTCCATCCACTGATTCACTCCCCAAGTGGCTGCAATGGTCAGAGCTGTGCTGATCCAAAGCCAGTCCTTGGGTCGTCTTCGACTGCTTTCCCAGGCCACAAGCAGGGAGCTGGATGGGAAGTGGGGCTGTGGGATTAGAACCGGCGCCCATATGGGATCCTGGAGCATGTAAGACAAGGATTTTAGCAGTTAGGCTATCATGCCTGGCCTGTATCCTCAGTTCTTAACTCCCAGTTTTGACCTCGATTGGCTGTGACTGCTGTGGGCATTTGGGGAATGAACCTGTGGATGAAAGGTACCTGTCTCTCTACCTTTAAATATACAAAATCAATTTTAAAAAATGCAGTACTGGGGAGAGCATGTTGCCCAGCAGTTAAGACACTGACTGGGATGCCTGTGTCACTTACTGGAGTGTCTAGCTCAAATTCTGGCACTGCTTATATAATCAAGCTTCCTGCTAGTGAGCATTGTAAATACAAAACAAAACAAAATAAAACCTAAAAATATAAATTATTTGTATACTAAAATAATAAATGTATTTGTCTAGTTAAAAATTAGCATTAGGGAGCTGACACTGCAGTATAGTGCATTAAACAACCCTTGTGGTGCCAACACTCCTTATGGGTACCAGTTCAAGTCCTGGCTGCTCAACTTCTGATCCAGTTCCCTACTGATGCACCTGGGAAAACAGCAGAGGTTGGTCCAGTGTAGGGACCACTGCATTCATGTGGGAGACCTGGAAGAAGCTCCTGGCTTCTGGTTTCGGCCTGGCCTAGCCCCAATCATTGTTGCCATTGGGAAAGTCAATTAGCAGATGCTAGATCTCTCTCTCTCTCTTTCTGCTATCTGTTTTATAAATAAATAAAATTCAAAAATTTATCATTTTATATATAGCAAAACTACTGTAGATAAAAGAAAAAAATAACATGAACACATTTGCAACTATAAAGTAGGTGTTAAATACTCAATGAAAGTTCTTATATATTAATAAGAAAAAAACAAAACCTCAATAGAAAAACAGCCCCAGGACATAAAGAAGAAGTCCACCAAAAAAGAAACACAGATAATAAATTAAGATAATAAAACACAGGCACTGTTTTTCAAAAAGAAAAACTAAGGTTAAACATAAGGAACTGCTACTTGCATGTGACAATGGACACAGATGGAAAGATGAAACCCCCAGCAGCAGGCCAGGTAAAAGGGAAACAAGATGCCAATGTGGTTGGCAGAGTGTACCTTGGCATTTTCCTTCAGCAACAAGAGTCAAGGCCTTCAAAGAGGATTTCTCCTGGATCCAGCAACTCCAGTTCTAGCACATTTCCAACCAGTCAGGATTGGTTAAACAAACTATGGGACATTGGCTTCCTCTCATGGTCCATGTTAAAATCTTAACTGGAAATTAAGAAATTGGATCCTTTGGATGTGTTTATGTGCATGGAGACCTTTTAGCAAGAGCCTAATGTGAACATAACTCATATATTTTGCCTTTAAACTCCTTGTTTTGAAGAAAAACAGATTAAAATTGAGCTCTACTATCTGATTTCTGAGTAGCACTCTATATAGTTTCTCTACAATCATGCTCTGCCTGCTCTCCTAGTTGGGAATCTTTGCGTGTTTGTCTGCCCCACCTGCCTTCCTACTGGCTCTTGTCTTCTCAGATCTATCGATTTCTAGCACCATGTTGGATACATAGTAGGCCCAACATTGGATAATTGTTTCCTTCCCTGTCTCATCCTTGCAGACCTAGCTCAACTGTTGTTTCCTTTTTTGAGACAGGTTCCTCATGCAATTGTGTGCTCTCTTTTCCTTCTCCTATAGAAACTTGTACAAAACATCAGGGGTGGCTCCAGCTCCACGAGCCTCACTGATCTGTTTATGAACCTTTCTGCCCTCACACCACGTGCTTCCTGGAGGCATCTCCTATCTATCACTGTAAGCAAGTCCAGTGACTAGCACATGGAATATGGCAGATGAGTGATTTGGAAAGAAAGCATGAAGGAATGTGGCAATTAATTAATTACTCCAACATTTTCTTTTTCTTTCTTGGCTCACAAAAACATACTACTTTTTCTTTTAGAAGATAAACTCTTAAGAGACACAACTGTTAGAAGTTAACAGTTTCCAAACCTCGCATGCTCACAAAACTAGTGAAAGCAGGCAATATTTTTAGTGCTTTACATACTTCAGTTGTGTTTACTCAATTTTATTTATAGACATTTATTTGCCTTGACTACTATTTCAAGTAGCAACTAGTGAGCTCCCTACATCTTACAGATTTTGCAAATGAAGGTATGTTTTTGGCAACAGTTCATCCTGAGAAGCAAGGCACTCATGACAGCGGTCCACAGTTTGGAATTAGTTATCTACGCCCCACTGGGCAATTTCCTCTTTTTTCCTCCCCTCTCCCCACCCCAATTTCTTTCTTTTTCTTTTTCCTTCACTTTTTGGCTAAACTGAAAGCATGGAAATATTATTCTGCTTTGAGGAAGGAACATGGTTTTTTTCTTTCATGTGGAAATGAATATAAAATGTAAAAATCTCATCCAACTCTCACCACCTGGCTGAAGATAACTAAATCACACACACCTAATGTCATAAATACAATGTCCCCCTGGGGTAACATAAACAACCCTTTTCTTCCACTTGCAATGATCTTCAGTCTCTTTGGATATTCTTGTTAATTTCACTAATCATGCTGAATGTGACGAAGCTCTGAGTAACTCAATTAGTATTCAGGATGGCTGGGTAAATTTAATTTCCTTTAGTGTGCCAATGAATAGTGACAAGTTCCTAGTAGGTATGTGTCTCCAAAACTATTGCTTTTACAGTTTGGCCTCATATGAAAATACTTTGCTTCTAGGAATCAGAAAACTTGAACTGGAGGCTCTGCTATGTACAAGTTGTTTGAATTTGAATAAGTCACTTAACTTTTCTGAGCCCCATTTCCCTAGACTGCAAAACAAGGATTATGCTAAACTCACGCTACTACGAGAAATTATTGTGCTAAAGCAAGAATACATACATAAAGTTATAAAATGGTTAAGCACCATATGAATGCAAGCTGCCATTATGAATAAAAGGAGAAATTTAAAAAACACACTCAAGGAAAATTAAGATATTTCCCAACGACCTTACTAAGGGGAAGAAACAGAATATAATCCAGTCTATTCTTTCCTCTGGGCAGTGGGAACAGAGTGTTCCTTCTTCCTTACGAATGTGAATACTCGT